CCCGCTGTTGTATGTTTTTTTTGGTGTTTTGACCATTTTTGCTACCAACAACCGAATCAGGCTATGGCCCAGACGTTAAGCCCAAGAATGCGGAATGGTCGGTTAGTTAACCTTTTAGCCCTGTTTGTCAATTCATTCATATTCCATGTGATTTACACATGAAGCCGGTGGTAATGTCTCACATGACAGAAAAGGTTGTTGAATCAATTTGTATCTCACCGGCAACTCAACGCCACCACAAGGTGATTAGGAAGAACAGTTCGGGGAAACGAAATGCCGTTTGAACTGATTGGTATTGAGATAACTCACTGGTTTTCAAGCTAACTTCATTGTTCGGGTGGACAGACGCCTCGGCATGCCTTACTTTTGAAGGCCAGGCACAGAAGGCCAGGCGTATCGGCGAAAGCTTTCAAAAAAGTCCAACTTAACAAGCCATTCCCAAATCAGATATCTTCCATTCATTGAGTCCTTATACCCTATAATCAACACGAACTTGCCATACCGTAGACGCCATCATTAATCGTGTCATAACACATCCCATCATCCTTCATACCAACGCCATCTAAGTGACCCACTAGAACTTGGGCATCTTTCTCTTCGCTTTTGACGAACTCCCGTTAAGCAAAAAGTACACAGGCAAAAACAACAAAGACCCCATAACGCACAACCAAGTACTATACAACTGCCAAATCCTCCACAAGAAGGGTCCTAGCCCAGGACACAAGAACTGAATGCAATCTGTAACAGGGTACAAATCTTCTTGGCTAGCAATATAGTACTTTGCACTTTGTCTCTTAGGTCTCGTGTCCTCAGGTGCTTCGTCTTCGTCGGAGGATGACTCAGGTGATAATTGCGTAAGTTGAAGAACCGAGACGAGACGGACTGGTGCTTTGTACAGCGGTATGAACCAGACTGCGAAGGTTTGGCGGAGGGAGACGTATAGAAGGCCACTTTTTTGATCAAATGCTTCAAACCATTAGTCTTCTACAGCATTAAACGGTGGCTTGTTGCTTACCTGCTGAATCAACTTGGATGTCGATATGCGGACTGAGAGTACGATACCAGCGATAAATCCCCAGTATCAATTGAATAGACTCTAGGCCTCCCGCAAGAGGAACTTGTCCTTTTGATATAGATGGGACGTGGCAGAAGGGATGTGTGAATGAGGCGTTGGGGAGAAAGTAGTCTCGCAGAGCTGACTCTTGGACGTCTGGTGAGCCTTGGGTGAGAGACTTGATGACTCCGCCGATTTCTTTGACTGTGAGGTGTCAGTAAGGTCAATTGAGTTACTATGCATTGTTCTTACCTGGATGCTCCATTTCGGTTTACTAGAAGTGTTCGGATTGCTCGGGATGTGGATTAAAGCTCAGTATAAGTGCAGGTCTATGAATATTGCTGAGTTTGGTGGATTGATGAGAGATGAGTTTGTGAAAGCAATTGAGTGAGGCAATGGATCTTAAAGTAATAAACCGAGGTTGGAATGATGAGGTTTATTGTTGTTTCAACCGTGTTATCCGTGGTCTGATCTCCATAGCATCTGTATCTATTCAATCCCTGGAACTTGAATCATTGAGTCGTCATGGCCAACTTTGGCATGTGAAAAATTGACGTCATGACGACGCCAATTGAGTTTCACATGCAACTTCCCATCGCAGCTTTATGAGCTCCAAAATTCCGCTCGTCTTCATTCTTTCAACTTGACTCTCGTCAATTGTCGCAATCATGGCTTCTAACCCGGGCCTCGTCAACCCTATCCTCCACCCCTTCATCTTTCTCTTCCAGGTCTTTCAATGGCTCACCGACAAACTCCTCTCGCCCAAAGCGCCCAGCGAAAACGCAAATCTGGGTCACAATAGGCCTAAGATTGCAGTTATTGGAGCTGGTATCACGGGTGTTACTTCTGCAGCGCATTGTATCGGTCATGGCTTCGATGTTGTGATCTTCGAAGCTGGGTCAAAGGATAATGTTGGCGGTATCTGGAGTGTAAGTCCCTCACCTCCCTTCCCATAATCGACAAATACTAAACCGTTAATTGCAGCGCGTCAATGAAACTTCTGGTCTTCAAATCCATTCACTAATGTATCGTTTTCATCCTTCTGTTCAATGGGACAGAGGATATCCTGATCGTCAGCAAATTGTCAGTCAGGTCAGGCAACTCTGGGAACGCTACGGCCTCAAAGAAAGAACGCGCTTCAACACCAAAATTGAGAAAGTCTACCAGGATGAGCAGGGCAGATGGATTGTGAATAATCCTGCTTTGGGTCGTTTTGGTGGTGTTATTGCTGCGGTCGGAACTTGTGGTGCGCCCAAGATGCCAAAGATTCCTGGCATGGATAACTTTAAGGGTCCGATTTATCACTCTAGTGATTTGACTGGGTATGTTATCTTATCCTTGATTAGGGGAATCGGGGACTAACTTTGTGTAGAAAGGATGTCAAGGGTAAGAAAATGGCTATTATTGGCGGCGGTGCCTCTGCAGTTGAATCACTCGAATTCGCTTTTGGAGAAGATGCCGCCAAAGTGAGTATTCTCTCCCGCTCAGACAAGTGGATTATTCCTCGCAATGTGTTCGTCGACGCTCTTCTCAGCTTCAACATTTTCGGCCACGAGACTATTCTTTCTTTCATCCCCGAGTTTTTTCTCCGCAAGTTCTTCTACAGAGATCTCGAGAATATCGCCCCAGATAAGAGCCAAGGCTTGTTCATGGAGACTCCAATGGTGAATTCGGAAGTTATGGATAAGCTACGAGAGGGTAAGGCAGAATGGGTCCGCTGCGATATCGATGAGTTCGTCGATAACGGTGTTCGTGTTAATCGACGTGCGAAGGGTGTACCGCAGGGTGGACCAGGTCACGAGGAAGTCATCGACGCAGACATCGTCGTGATGGCAACAGGTTTTAAACGACCTTCCCTCTCCTTCCTTCCAAACGATTGCTTCAAAGAACCTTACTCAGCACCAAACTGGTATCTCCAGACCTTCCCACCAGCACACCCCTCCGTGTCAGCCATAAACTGCACATACGTCAATGCCATCGGCACAGTAGGAAACTGGCACATCGGCATCTACACACGAATTCTTCTCATGTTTCTCATGGATCCTTTCTCCAGGCCTAGTCCGTTCTGGATGCAGCGCTGGATCGACATGACCAAGACTCTCAAACTAAGCAGTCCAACTGGTGCTTTTGACTTTTTTACGTACCTGGAGCTTGTTTGGTGGTTTTTCTTTTGTGTGGTTATCAACCCTTTTCGATGGAAGTGGGCTATCTTTGTGTTTTTTGGTGTTGGGTTTGGATTGCCCAAGGCTGTTGTGAGTCAGGAGGGGAGAATTACTAATGGGAATGGATATCATGCCAGAGATGAAGGACGAAGTCTGTAATCTCTGCACAGTCACTGGGGCATATGGATATTGTTGAAACATGGATTCGTATGTGTTGGATTATTATGACCATCATTAATCCTAGCTATAACAAAGGAAAAGCGCTATTTTCTATCCTCTATTGTCCTTGTTCCTGTAACATCATCGCTAACTTGATATTGGCCAATGCCAAAGTCCTGCTTCGTGGCGAATGCCTCGTAGTCGTGGGGTATAATTGAATGGGTATTTTTTCGTTGTTTCAAGGATTTCGGTCTCGCCGACATATCCTCGAAAATGTTCATGCGACACAGCGCTTGCTTTGTTTCGTAAATGTGTAAAGTTCCTGCCTCCTACTGAAGTTCCTGACTCCTATACGGCTTGACCGTATGTAACGACTGTTTCTCTGCTAACTTCAATGCCGCCCACACTGCTGCTGTGTTTCGTGCTGAAACTAACCACAGCTGGCTCTGGCTTTTGCGTTAAAGATGGTAGTCTATCACCAGCGCTGTCAATGCTCTCTGGTCTTGACTCCTCGTCGATAGGAAGACCCTGCTCAGGATCACGGTACCATAATCTTGTCTCGTCATCCATGTGGCCAGATGTCTTTCTGTTGGTCAACTCATATGACTCGTCGCTGCCGGTGGGGTTACTCTTGTTTTTCTCTCGGTGACTGCTGTTCTTGGAGGCCTTGGGCGAAGAACGCATGCCTGAGTGAATGAGGAAGGGAATGTAGCGCTTGAAGAAGGGCTTGAGGGCAGGGATTGAGACGACTACGATGCTGAGATTGACTTCGATGAAACTCAGAATGAGTTGCGGTGGGAGATGCCATGTGTAGTCGATAGTCTTGAGCATGGGAAGCGTGATGGTAAGTCTGCGGATGGTAACAACAATGATAGAACCACCCGTAGCAAAAAGAACAGCAAGTCCAACCTTCTGTCGTCTAGGAATCTGCAGCGGTTGAACGATGCGGAAGGGAATAATCATGAGAAAAGCATCAACCACAACACTGCATGTGACGAGGTATATAACAAGAATACTAAGAGAATAGCACTTGTCCTGCTGCAGAGGATCCCAACCTGCGGAGATGGGCCAGCAGCGGAATATGACGATTATAACGTAAGTGAAGCTGTAGGCGCAGACGAGAGCCATGGTGCCGTAGACGGCTCGACGGACGAATTTGTCGGGGGAGATTCGGAGGTAGAAAGAGAGGACGGAGAGTTTGGAAAGGGAGATTGTGGCGCAGTAGATGAGGTTTGCTGCTGTGCTTGTTTGCCAGAATTTGGGGACGTATTCAAGTATGGTGATATCCCACATGTGATTTCCAACACCGAGGGTAAGGACTGAACTGTTAGCTGAAATCTCCAATGAGTAAAGTCTTGTACTTACGTGTAAGTGTAGCTGCCAAAAAGCCAAAAGAGAATATCATACTCGCTATGCATAGATCTATTCAGTTAGCTCGATGATCCCAAAGACAAACAGAAGTGTATAAAGGCATACAGTCATCAGCCCCCAAAGGTCCCTTAACAACCCATTTCCTCGTAAATATCCGGATGATAACAATGATAAGCGCAAAACCCGTCAAAGTAGCACCGGCGGGAATGACACCGCCAGCGCTACTGGGCGGGTTTTCTGGTTGTCGTGTATATCCCGGCGGCGGATCCATGAGGTAGACTTGGGGAATCATACCGAACGGCAGCTGCATCTTGACGGACGACTCTTCTTTATACTTTTAGGAAGAATGCCAAGGTATTATATGTATGCACCTGGAGGAAAAGTAAAGCTGTATTTTAATATAAAAAAATGGAGTAGACCAAGTAAATGGACCTCGGGGTATGCACGACCTTATATCTTGGACAAGGAGCAAGGTTGTTGTGAAATGTGAGACATACGGCGACAAATCTACAAAGTCTTTATTTCTATCTATCATATTGTGGCTATAAAGAGACAGGCCGGGGAGTCCTTACCAAGGACCACTAGTTGTAGAATGGTTCGACTCAGAGTAGGAAAAGATGACATCTCATTCTGGGTCTATAGAGGAGATACAATCGAAAGAGGAAAAAGAAACGAGGAAAAAATGGTCTTTGCCATTGTTTGCTTTTGCTTTTGGGAGTCGCCTTTTCGCTCTTACACGTAAAGAGGTCCGCATGTAACCCTACCCTTGGGAGGACGGAGTGGGTATGGGGAAAGAAGAAAAAGAGGAATTACTTGAGAGAAAACTATCCAGTTACATAGTAGTAGTTCCTGGCTTAGAATAGCTATGGCGTTGTGATTCGGAACCGGGGACCAACGAGAGAAGAGATCTATGGCCTCAATTTCCTCTCCTGCAAAAGTGTTAGAGCCTCATGCAGACTGTGTCTCACCGGTTTCTTCAGCACAAGTTCAAATCACGACGAGATATTATACCAAGCCCCAGAATAAGGTAGATCAGGATCTCACCTCTGTGTGTCAGCAAGGGTTTGCAGCTTGCTAGGGATTACTTTGTGATGCGTCACGGCAGTCGATACAGGGTCGAGGGCTGCGGAGGATCTGTCTTGCCAAGAAAAGTCTATCCGGCAAAGATAAAAGACACTGATGATTGTGGGTTTCTTTTTACACGGAGGTTGTCCATTTCTATATCGTCGCCGCTGTCGCTTGAGTTACCTCTTTGGTCGTCTCATTGAGGATCAATAGACTTCGAGACTGGATCTATTTCCTCAAAGCCTCGGGTACTCGGCTTCTCTTCTGTCAATTCAAGTTAAGTCGAGTAGAATCGACTCTTGCGCAGACATGAGTTCAGATGAACATAAGCGATCAAAGGATCTATCCTTAGTTGCTTCTACAAGCCTAATACAACTCTGACGGCCAGCCCAAGAATTCGATATAATATAAATCACTTCCAACTTCAATCACTTCCAATTGCAGATAGGAAATCGTCGACAGTGACATCCAATCTATAGCTGCATATGTATCCTACCTCGGCTCGCCACTGAGATGCATATAGCTGACGTCTATTCAACCTTTCTTTTTGTTCTTTTTTTCGTCCTTTCTTTTTCGGACCCCTGTCCTAGTTTTGCCGCATTGTCACACACGATCTTGAATGGCCGTTGGTCCCTGGCAGCCCTGACAGTCCTGGCCTCAACAGGTAAATAAGTACGTACTCATTTACTTCCCAGTTCCTCGTCTGTTTCTCGTTTCGATGCGAGACATTTGTCTTATTGGCCTTATGCCTTATGCATGTCTCAAATCGCTTGTTGGTTTAAAACTCGATATCACAGGATACTACGATCGTGGCGGTAGATAGGTTCTTTTGATCTTCCGCCAGTGAATCATATAAATTAAGAAGATCATGTTCGCAACTTTGACAGTCTTCAGCAGATAAGATACACTAGTCAGCATCCACAATGGACATCGATGCCACTATACGAGTCGAGTCGAGTGGACTTGACTTGTTCCGTAATTAATGGAGGTGTAGCAGTTTTCTCTTTCCGCGGGGGCAAGTAACTGATGCCGGATCCGAAAGAAGACTGGGTCAGAACTGAAGTTGTAGAAAAAGCAATCATATATACTACAGTATCTTCTTGCCAAGCTCGCTTACACCCTCCACGGTCACAATGCAGGAACAAATTGCAGAATGTCTCAGCGCCTCCTGTATGTTTTTTCTATATCACATCACATGGCATAATAGTCTATATAATCATCACTCCCTCCAAGATTTTCTCTCCAGGTTATATCGATCGACTGTTATATCCAGCCCTTTCAACAACAGTAGGTACTCATGACCCCTGTCATCACGGCCCGTAGTGCCCTGAATCCATAAACCCCTGCCCTGAAAAGCCGTTGAGAAGAGTGGGATAGCCTTGTCAATTGCATTCCTCTTTCAGACCGGACTTTGCTTTGACAGTTTTGCACTCGGCCGAGCAGTTCAGTGCCATGTTGATTAGAAGACAATGGCCTGTTCGTTCGCCTCTTAACCACTTCTGAATACAAAATATGCCCAGTCATATTTTCAACAGTCTCTCTATCCACTTTCTTCGCAAGTTTGCCTTGACAGGGATGTTAATGCCGCGTATCAGATATCCTATTTTTCTTTTTAACTTTGGTCATATATCAGTTGGCCACGACGCCTCGTGCTCGTATGAGGACGAATGTCTTTTACGCGATGCGATCGAAAGAGGCTTATAGATGCAGATACCGGCAGGCACGTGGGCAACGAAAGACAAACACCAATGGCCAGTGCACGTATGAAGATAATTACTATGAACGCATCAAACCAAGGTGTTTGCGGGTCTGGATGGATAACCGGGAATCTTTGGCAGAAGTGATGGACTTACATTACATTGTGAAGAGCCTCCTGATCATCATAGGATCCTCATTGTAACCTCTAAAGCCTGCCAAGCTTTTGTCAAATGTAAATCTATCCGCAATACTGAAACCAAGCGAAGGGACTGTCAACTATTACTACTACCAGTCTAGTCAATGATTCTACCACCAGTATAGTCAGTGATTACAGTACCTCAAAAGTCCATCGTCTAGAATTTTATCCGGTCCACCGTCCGTCAGGTAAGACTCAAGTGGAGACAACATTTACTGATATATCATGTTTCACCTTTTTTCTTACCTTTTCTTTTCTTGGACTTGCACCATTGTTACGCACATATTCACTCACGGACGTAGTTCGTGCACAGCGCCACTATTGTACTAGGATGTATTACGAGTGCTTGGAGGAAAAGGCCGTTGAGATTTGATCTTGCATGTCGAGCGCCACCAGATCCTTCGAGTCAGTTCTCTTCTCGTTTAGTTTTACATAGGAAGTTGTTTTACAGCACGGTCGTGGATCTACTGTCACGCACACAATTCGAAACACAAGTTCTAATAATCCAAGGTCTTAACAAACTCCCCTGGTATTAATATTACAATGTACCGTACACTTTCTCGTCATATATCTCTTTCTTCGCGTCTAACCCGGGTTCACACGTAACAAAGGCAAACATATAGTATAAGCAGTTCGTAACGCATCCATCCGTCATTTACACCATCCCATCTTAGCGTTTTGGTCATATAACGTAAAACCACCCAGTCAACAACTCCTTGGCTCTGGCTCTAGCTCTAAAATCTAGACTTCTTCCGTTCCTACAGCCTCGTAACCTCCGCGATCTCGTCGGCCAGTCAATGTCATGAGGCTAGGACTCTCGTACATGGCGGTGTAATCGACGCGCTCGCCACCGAGAACAGCAGATCCGTTCTCTCGCTGGCCGAAAATGGGCGCGGGATCGCACCAGAAATCTTTGCAGTTGGTGATGCAGCCTTTGCTGTAGGGGTTCTTCTTCTTGCGCTTGTTCTTGCCGGATACGGCTCCTCTTCCTGTGATGGTCTCGATGAAGGGGTCGACTCCGAGGGTTCGGCTGAGTGACTTGAGGATGCCACCCTTGTGCTTATGGGAGTGAGCAGCAGGGGGTGCTGCAGCTGATAGAGATGGGTGGTTGGGGTCGAGAGGTGCGCCAGTGGATGTAAGAGCAGTGATGTTGCTGCCGTCACGGATACCAAACATGTTCTCATATGTAGTCATGGCTCGGGCGACTTGGATGAACTGAGTGAACAGAAGCATGGTGACCCAAAGCAGCTGCAGCGTGATCCAGATAGCCAGGATTGAAGTATATGAGTCGGCATTGATGTACTTGCACAGTGTAGGGCTGAGGACATTGCAGGTCTCTGAAGCATTCTTGCTGATGGTGTCAAAGTCTACAAGGAATTAGCATACTGTTTCACAGATCTGGTCATTCTCGAGGTAACTCACAGTAATACAGCAAAAAGTCGTACGAGACAATACCAAGAGTGAGCGAAATAAGGTAGAAGAAAAAGTGTCGGTGGTTGTTGATACCAACACAGTTGTAAACCCACGGGCAGTGGCTACACATGTTAGTTATCACATATCATGTATCCAAGGACATCTACTTACTGGTCATGCTTGGCAACGCATCGCTGGCAGCGACGACAATGCTTGCTTCGAAGAGGTGTCTGAATCATGCAAGTAACACAAAAGTTGGTCTCATCGTACTTCCACTGCGCAAGAAGTTCATCGATAACAGCCTTTTGCTCAGCAATGCCATTCATCTTGGGAACGAAACCAGGGTCGTATCTCATGCTGGCGACGTAGAAATACCCGGTAAGACCAAAGAAGATCGCAAAAAAGAGGTTCAGAAATCCGTGGCCATGGCCTTCGGTTGCGCCGAGTGTCGTCGCGAAAAGGACTGTCGTCAACCAGTTCACTCCCGTCCAGAAAAGAGTGGCCGCAAAGATTCCAGTTAACCAAGGCTACGAGCGTTAGCATAATTCTACAAGTTAGAGACTTGAACATACCGTCTTGTGGAAATGTCGCATATCTGAAGGCGCATACTCCAATACTTGCTGAGCAACCCACTGAATACCGTAAACAGCAGCCAATCCAAGAGGCACACCAATGTACACAGGGAAACTCGACATGACAACAAGCATAGCCCACACCAAAACAAACGGCCAGAGGAACAAAAACCTGGTGACAAAATTCCTCTTGTCCTTCAAGAAATAACTAGCACCAGGCCAAGGAGGCACCGCAGGGTGACCGTCCTCGTTGAAACCGCATTCCCGTAGAGCTCTGTGCCAGGCAACTTCCGTGTTGAGTTCCTTGGCCGTCACGGCAGGCGTCTTGCCCGTCTGCGTCTTTGCAAATCGATCGGCTCCGTACTCGATAAGTTTCAGGATACATCCAGGACTGCCCTTGACCAAAGCCCAGTGCAAAGCCGTGAAGCCCTGCTCGTCGGTCGCGTGGATGCTGGCGCCCCAGCGCAAGAAAAGGTCCACGCATTGGGGAAGGCCCTTGTAGGCAGCCCACATCAGCGCGGTGTGGCCAAAAGTGTCGAGGACGTCGACGGGAATTCCTTGGTGCAGGAGAAGGACGATCAGGAGGGTGTTGCCATTGAATGTCGAGATGTGGAGGGTGTTGTAACCTTGGGCGTCGGTGATCAGAGGGTCGGCGCCGTGCTGGAGAAGAAGGTTGACGGTATAGTAGTGACATCGCTGAGCCGCCCATTGAAGAGGTGTCGCTACTGACTCTCCGCCTTTTCTGTTGATCTCGGCGCCGTGCTCGATCAAGAATTTGCACATCGCATACTGATTGTTAATCGCCGCCCACTACAAAACGTCAGCATGATCCTCCTCTCCCATATCGCGTCGTTCGCAACTCACATGTAGGGGCGTGATACCCTCGTCGTCGTGGTAGGTCGCATCGTACTCGCCCGACTCGAAGAGCTTCTCCATAGCCGGAACGTCTCCTATCCGAGCCACCTGCATAACATCATCCTGCTGATTCTGGGCGTCTCCCGGCAAACTACCCATCTCGACCTCGCTGTTGAGCTTGGGGGTAGCTGCGTTTGCTTTTCCGGACATTTGGATAGGTGCGGCTGATCCGCCTGCTGTGCTGGTGGTGTTTATGCTCGCCATGGCCAATTGTGCCCGTAGGCTAGGGTTTTCGTGAGACGGTAGGTTTGTAGCTTTATTTCACGTGGTTGCGGGTGCGACAAAAGATACTGAATTGGGGTTTATTCGTACAAGATAAACATTGTCTGTCTGAGGAGAAAGAAAGAGAGAGAAAAGGAAGAGAAACGGCAAGAGAAGCAGGGGAAGAAAAGTTAACAACTCCAGAAACTGGCCTTGGCTGAGTCTTGGCTGAATTTTGAAGAAGACGGGACAGCGCGTGGAGTAGGCCTACGTATTACTTAGAAGCCGTGATGCCGAGCGCGGCTGAGCTCAGACCCTCTTACGCTCTCTCTTTTCTCCCTATGGGGGAAGCCGTCCGCCTCAAACTTTACCGGCAGCCAGTAAAAGTCAGGGTCCTGCTGTGGCTTATTTCCCCCTAATCATGCAGTGATTCCATGCCATTGGCTATAACGTATTTGGACTTGATCTTCTTTGTGGCGCAGGCCGAGTCCAAGTGGGGATGCCGGTCTAGGAGCTCTCCGGTGGGCTGGCCAGATATTCAATTCGTTTAGCAGCTTCAATTTGACAGCAAACGTTTTTGTTTCCAAACTGTCCAACGTCATCTGAGCCATCCCACCGACCTCGAGGATACAGATAAACTTCAAGACCCTGTCTTGTCCCCTTGCATCGGCTTACCCGGCCTTTATTTCGTCGAGCGACACTTACGGGCGCCAATTGGTGCCGCACATCCGTTCACCATGGCCAATTTCATCGACATCGTCGAGGCCATCATGACGCCCTCGCTGACGACAATCATCATTGGCGCACTGATAATCATCGGCGCTCCTGTCATTCTTCACCTCGTCCTCGCCTCGTCAAGGACATACACTGTTCCTCCCAGCGTTCTTCTCGTCGGTCCCGCCAACGCTGGCAAGACGTCACTGCTCACGCTCTTTGAGCGCGGCGCCACTGGTACCGAGACGCACACTTCCCAGGTGTCGCACGACGTCGAGCTCAACGCTTCCACCGACTCTGAGCACAGACATTCGTACCGCAACCACGATGTTCACGACGGCACCTACACCAAGTTTTTGCTCATCGATACTCCTGGTCATGGCAAGCTGCGAAATGTCGCCACGGGCAAGCTGAACCGTACTGAGAAGCTCAAGGCTGTTGTTTTCGTCGTGGACGCTGCTGCTATTGGAGAGCCGGATGTTCTTGCGCCCACTGCGCAGTATCTCTACGATGTTCTGCTGTTCTTGCAGAAGCGCGCTACCAACTCCAACGCCAAGAACCCGATTCCTATTCTTATCGCTGCCAACAAGATGGACCTCTTTACTGCGCTGCCTTCAACTCTTGTTAAAACCAACCTGGAGGCTGAGCTGACGAGGATTCGTGCTTCGCGAAGCAAGGGACTGCTCGACTCTGGTGTTGGATCTGACGATATTGGTTCCGAAGAGCAGGATTCTTGGCTGGGCGAGTACGGTTCCTCCAAGTTTACTTTCAGCCAGCTCCAGGAGTTCGACATTGACGTCGATGTCCTCCCTGGAAATGTCACTGGCGACGGCCCAGGTGCAGACAAGTGGTGGTGGTGGATTGCTCAGCGCATATGAGGCACGGAAATGACAGCATTCACAAATGTGGGAGGATTCTGGATGACACAATTATATTAATGACATTTTTAATTTACGCAGCTGATTCCCGTCGCAAATGCCATGTAGATGTTGAGTCTACCGCCCAAAAATTCTATATCAAAACAACTTTACATATCCTCAAATGCTTCTTTTTCTAGTGGTATCCTGGAACGCCAGACGTGAATGTCGTTGAAAACATGAGTACTCGTTCCCTTTCCTCTCGCGAGGTTTTTTGTATCTACAGCTTCTTGTTGATCATCCATGTGAGGAGATCAACCTTTGTGACAACAGCAATAGGCTTGGACAGAGACTTGGATCCCTCCTCTGACTTCTCGGTGACCACGGCAGCGCTGTTCCACTCGAAGAACTTGCTGAGGGTGGTCAGGGGTGTGTCCTTGGTGATCTCGACAAACTGCCTGCGCTTGCCGGGGTTGACGGGGGAGGCGAACTCGCGAGGATCAGTGACGATCTCGTCCAGACGGGCAAAGTCGAACATAACCTCGGAGACGCTGCTTGAGGCGCTGGCGCGGCCGCTGGAGATGTAGCTGAGCAAGTTACCCAGGGTGACGAGACCGACGAGCTTGTTGCCGCTGGCGGAGAGGACGGGGAGTTGATCGAAGCCCTTCTCGCGCATGGTCTCGATGGCCTCCTGGCAAGTAGAGTTGGCGCCGACGGATGTGACGGGCTTGAGGCGGAGAGCGGCGATGGTGGCGCCCTCGTAGGGGTCAGAAGACTGCTTCTTGCCGTTGCCGTTGACGGCGGACTCGATTCCGTTGACGGGGAGGAGGTTGTTGGCGGCGAGCCAGTCGTCGTCGGCGAACTTGGAGAGGTAGCTTCGGATGCTGTCGGGAAGGACAACGACCACGACATCACCCTTCTTGAAACCGTACTCCTTGACGGCGAGGAGCATAGCAGCCATGGCGGAGCCGGAGCTGCCACCAACAAGGATACCCTCCTCAGCAATCAGTCGGCGAGCAAGGTGGAAAGACTCGCGATCATCAGTCTTGTACCACTTATCGACGATGTGCTGGTCAAGAACATCAGGGATGAAATCGTATCCAATACCCTCCACCTTGTAGCCCTCGTTGACACGCTCCTGGTTCAGAAGCTCAGGCAGAGCAAGGATACTGCCGTGGGGATCAGCAGCAATAACCTTGATGTCCTGGTTATGCTTCTTGAGACCACGAGCAATACCAGTGATGGTACCACCAGTACCAGCACCAGCGACAAGAGCGGTGATCTGACCACCAGTCTGCTCCCATATCTCCTGGGCGGTACCGAACTCGTGGGCGTTGGGGTTGTCCTTGTTGCTGTACTGGTCGAGGATGTGGGCGTTGGGAAGCTCCTTCTCGAGACGTCGAGCAACACCGATGTGAGACTCGGGGGCGTCCCAAGCAGCCTGTGTAGGAGTACGGATGATGGTGGCGCCAAGGGCACGGAGGACGGAAACCTTTTCGGCCGACATCTTTTCGGGGAGGGTGATGATGGTCTTGTAGCCCTTGATGGCACCGACGAGAGCGAGACCGATACCACTACAAAAGTCAGCAAAAGAATTCGGTATCGAAGTAATGGTGATCTGATCTTACGTGTTTCCACTGGTAGGCTCGATCAGAGTGTCACCAGGCTTGATACGGCCACTCTTCTCAGCCTCCTCAATCATGCGCAGAGCGATTCTATCCTTGACGCTACCGCCAGCGCTGAAAAGCTCGGGCTTAACGTAGACATCGCACTCGATACCCAGAGACTGGGGAATCTTGTTAAGTCGGACAAGAGGGGTGTTGCCGATAAGTTCAGTCGCAGAGTGGACGGTGGCAGCGCGGGGCTTAACGTGAGGGACCTGAGACGCCATTTTGGATGTTTTTGGGTATATGAAAGAGATGAAAGAAGGGAAAGATTCTCATACGAGAAAATGAAATGACAGTTAAAAATAAAAAGCACGCCACGAGGACAAAAACATTGTTTGGTAGGCGGGGCGGTATGACAGACAGAAACTCTCTGATAGATGAAAGTTTGCCCCGCCAATGCCGAGATTATCCTGTGGAAACCGTTCTAGAACCGGGCTAGAAAAGTTCTGATTTGGTAGGCGGTGAACAGACCGCTTAAGTTACCCGGTAGCTGATCGTCATGAAGTTAGAGTGTTAAGCTTAAACTTATTCTGAGTATTTACTTGAATGTTTAGAATGGCATCTAGTAGTCATGATTAAGGATTGAATGTTTATTTTTGAGGCCCATGATATGACTGTGCTTCCCATGTGTTGGATCCTGGATGTCTTATTTTATCGCTGCGACCACTTTATGATGGCGCAAAAGCACGACATTCACTCGCATGATCATCATTTAAACGTCACAAAGAACTCCATCTCACTTCAGATTATTTAACCGAGCTCTACGCCATTCAATTCGCTCATAGTCGAACGAATGATGAGACATCACATTTGGTCAGACACTTACCTCCCAGACGAGTAGCAGAAGAATTGTACTCTAAGGCTTGGAGAGTCAAGACAAAGTAGCCTAAGTGCTCGTTTAAGCCAGCGCAAAGTAACTACCTAGGTTATTTCGTCCTTTATGCTTATAGAGGCCAATGTTCTGATACCCTGACGATTGTCCAACCGAGCTTTACGCCATCTGTCGCTTACAGTTAGATAAACGATAAGGTATCGTCTCTCGCCTCATGATCTCATCCCATATTCCAACTCAGTAAGCAAATCATCTCCATCTCCGCCTTTTCACTCTTCCTTTTCAAAAGTTCTCTACCAGTTTACAATAGTTCCTCCCGCCACTTGACCCCCGAACCTATCACCATCGTCCCGGTCCTGGCTTCACCCCCGCACTCGTTCGTGCTTCCTTGTAGATCTTATCTCGTCCGACATGGGTTGTCATGCCAAGACTTTTAATTGTTGCGACCTGCCATTTTCGCATCCTTTACCCATAGGCTGGTCTTACCTTCTGGGGGGAAATATGATGAACTTTGTAGTGTGATTTTGTATATAATGGCGAGCTCGTCGCATGTCTTGGCCTCTCGTCAAGCACTGTAGCTCAATTGGTTAACCATGAAGTTCTTTAATGCTCTGCTCTACGGAGCTCTCTTCTTCTCAGAGGTCACAGCTACCAAGAAACTCACACCAAGCCAAGTCGAAGGTGACATTAAAAAGTCCAAGTAAGCTCAACCACAACCCACACGCACCATCTCAGTCTAACAATCACAGACTTCGAAAGACCCTCGTGGATCTCGACAAGATTGGCAAAAAGAACGGCGGCAACAGAGCCTTCGGTCTTCCTGGCTATAAGGCGTCTGTCGACTACATCTACAAAGAGTTGAGCAAGCACAAAAAGTACCTCGACACCACCATCCAGCCCTTCAACTTCACCTTTGAGCAGACGAGGGATATTCAAGTCCGTGGACCTGATGGTGAGGATGTTTATGTTATTACCCTCATTTACAATGTTGGTACGCCTGAGGGTGGTGTAACTGCTCCTTTGGTGGCCCTGCCAGTTGATGATACTCGTGGCTCTGGATGTTTTGCCGATCAGTGGGAAGGTGTCGATGCAAAGGATAAACTCGTCCTCGTCAAGCGCGGTGCCTGCGCTATTTCTGATAAACTCAAACTCGCAAAGAAAGCCGGTGCTCGCGGTGTTCTTCTCGTTCACAACGCTCCTGGCGAGGGCATCACCAGTGCTACTCTCAGCGCCGAGAACCTGGGACTTATCGTCCCTGTCGGTGTCATTCCTCTTGAGGTCGGCACCGCTTGGCGCACGCGCATTGAGGCGGGTGAGGAGCTTGAGGTCACTTTGCTGGTGGACTCATTCTACGAGACTCGTCTGACTTGGAATATCATTTCTGAGACCAAGCTGGGTGATCCTAAGAACGTTGTCATGATGGGTGCTCATTTGGATAGTGTGCAGGAAGGTCCTGGTATCAACGATGACGGTAGTGGAACTGCTGGTATTCTTGAGATTGCCAAGTCTTTTGCTAAGTATACTGGCTACAAGAACAAGGTGCGATTCGCTTGGTGGGGCGCTGAAG